TCACTTCGAGTTTTGTGAGGTGGAAACGACGTATGGAGCGAAGTGTTGAATTTAATGTGTGGTGCTTTCTTTGTGTCATTAATTAGGGGTTCTTGGTTCTTCTAACTTTGTTATGGAAAAATTGGGTCACATGGCAATCTTTCCTTAGTTTTGGTTGGACGAGGTAGATAAGAAATTTTGGTTTTAGAGTAGGCCATACGTAAGATTGATAGCTACTAAGCCAACCGACATTTAACGAATTGTCTGCGCTCAAAATATCTCATTGACCTTGAGGCAAAACCGCAAAAGTTAGTTCTAACTTCTAAACATAAGTTTTTCCGACGGTCCCCACTCCCACCACCTTTTCTGGTGGTTGTTGGTGGTGGGAGGGGCGGCAGTGGTGGCGCCCTTGGTGGTGGTAACTTGGAGGAGCCTATTTTAAAGAACAGAAAACCATATGATATGATCGATGAACTACATGAAAAGGAACACAAGAAAATATACTGTTTTCAACTTAAATCACTATAAAAAACCAATAGGGCACAGAATTCTTTCTTTCGGGGGAGAAAGAGGTCTTAAGATCTCCTAAAACATGGGAAAACTAAGTATATATATGGCCCTTCCAAGCAGTTAAAAGTAGCACCATTAAGTAGTGGAGAGAGAGAGGGAGAGATTAGAGAGAGATAGATACCAAAAACGAAAGAACAAGCTGTCCACCCTCCTCTCTTGGATCTAAGAATAGGGTTCCCTTTAAGATCCACAGTCCCATCTTGTGTGCACCGATCTTGCCCATTTTCTTCTTCCCCAGCCATTACACTACCAAGAAAATATGTATAATGTTCTTACTTGAAGAAGAAGCTAGTTTTACTAGCAAAAGGGGAGTTGAAACCCCCTTTTATAATAGACTAGTGTAAGTTCTAGAATCTTGACCAATATCCACCTGTACAAGATAATAGTTGGAGTAATGTCGGCACTAGCGTGTCCAGGTAGAATAGTATTATTCAAATTTCTTGGTTTGGATATTCTTCTACTACACGTTTACAAGCAACTTGATTTTTTCTTCTGTTCAAGCCTTAATTTTTCTTTAATTTTTCAAGTATAGATAACTAACTAAGCCCCTGTCTGGGAGGGCTTTTCAGAGTTTGAGAAGTGATTTTTCAGCCGTTGTTTTTGACCGTTTCTCACCAAAATGCAGCCGCAATCTGTGGAAATTTTACCGTTGCTGGGTCCAACGGTCCAAAAAGGAATTTTAATCCAAATTTTCAGCCAGCCCAGACAAGCTCTAAAGTAAAGGTTCAAGTGGTCCATTACAAAACGACATAGCATATTCAAGTGTGTTATGGACTTGCGTTATCTCAACTCATTTTGTAGTTGGCATAGAATCTTAATGCCAAACTTGGTTTCACACTAGATTTTCAAACAGGGCTAAAATTTACAGTTGAAAACTATTTGAGACAAAAATTTAAATGAACACACGTTCTCACTAATAATTTAAATTTTCAGATGAAATGGTTCAATATTATGTCCTTGTTTGGTGGAAATTAAATTAAGGATTTTAATTCAAGTCAAAGACAAAAATTAATTTTAACTACACGTTTTATAGAATCCATAACTTTTCAACCGCATATTTTATCAATTTTTATCAAAATCTACCAAAAATTTGATTTAAATCCCCACAAAAAAAAGAGGCTACATTTGGACCGGATAAAATTATAAGTGACATTTTCGAATGTGCACATAAGAGAACATATTAAAAAACAAGATTAACACATGTAACCTCTATTCAATACCTTAATGAATAATTAAACTTAGACAAGGAATCTCACTTTCTTTAGATAGTTTCAAGCACTGCACAAAAAATAACTAAAGGAACTGTATAATAGAAATTTCACCACTTAATCCCCATTTTTTTGATATAACAGTCAAATACAATTTCTTTTATAGATATTCTATATTTTTTAGCACATTTTCAACTTGTGTTCGCATGAAATTTAAATAGACGAGAATATCATCAACAAACTGAAATCTTCTAAGTAATGTTATTTATCATTATCATGATGGAACATCGATGATGTGGCAACTCATTATCCCTCATATTTCTCTCTCTCTTCTTCATCTCTCGTTCATAAAAATTGAAATGTTCAATCTCGTTATTCCACATAACTTGTCACATTATCGATATTTCATCATCATAATGATAACTAACATTATTCTTTCGATAAATTTAAAGTAGAGCACAATAATCACTTTTCTTACTTTTTGATTCGTTAGTATATTTGTTCTGCAGAAATACATTTCACACGTCTACATGAATTAAAAGTGGACCAAAAAAAGAAAAAAATGAAACCGCACTTCTATTCCTATTGCTTATATGATTTCTTTCCCATAATCAATGTATGAAATTTGACTCTTTATGGCATGCTAAGACACATATCGCGATTTACTTCCTCCACGATGCTGTAGGAACGGGGAGGTGGGGGACCCTCAAGGTTGGGGTTCAACCTTTAGAAAAGAAAATACTATTTTAAAACAATGAGTGCTTAGTCAATGCTTCTAGAATTTAACAATAAATTTGGATACGTATTGAGATTTTATTTTTTAAATCCAAATGGGAACTAAGATATTGAAGGGGGTTTGAAATCTTAAAAAGGAGCAAAATATTAGCAACACACTTTTTTCCTCGATTTGACCAGAGAAGGAAAAAGTACTACGAAGAAAGGCATACAAGTATGAATGTACAATCACCACATGTTTTTTTAAGGTATCAGGTTTTGGCGCGGAACGTCTTCTCCATCATGTCCCTTTTAATCAATGCTGACGTTGATGAGTAGACCACTTTCTACTGTATATATTTATGTTGGTTCATGATAAGTGTGTTTTTACATACTTATTTTACTGTCAAAACATGAGCAATCGTTGATTAAAATATTGGAATATAGCTTAACTCTATGCAAGTTATGTTTTGCAGAACAAAGTGATGAATGTAGCGAAATTGAGGAGAA